AAGTGAATGTGATCCGTTGATGTTTCCAATTTCTATAGCCAATTCCGCATTCTCTCTCGGGCCGTTCGTGCTGAAGTCTCGACGTCTGGCGTTGATTATTTTCAAAAGCTTTCGGGAGCGATTCGATCGGATCGCCCTCGACAGTGCGGAATTGCGTATAGACATTTGTGCTCCCTTTTAAATTTTTTACTGTCTTTGCAATATTACGGTAAGCATCGTCTTCCGATTACAGTGTGTAATGTTTAGCGCTTTTCGAGGCCGCTGAAAGTCGGAGGTGTAGCGCGAAGGAAAAGAAAAAAAAAGGAAGGAGGAGGAGGAGGAAACAAACGCGTTTAAACAAATCTTATATCCGTAAGCTTGATATGTGTACGTATAAAATGAACAATAGGCATTGCTCTCTCTCTTCTTCTCTCTCTCTCTCTCTCTCTCTCTCTCTCTCTCTCTCTCTCGACGACTCGACCTCGGATACGAGAAAGGAGAATCGTATATTGTAACCTCTGTGTTTAAAAGCAATGTGTACTTATACGTTAAGCGGTTAAGGTACTAAGTATATATACTTTGCGGGCTATTGCGTGAATGAATCATATCTATTCTACGTCTCCATGCTCACACGGTGTCTATAAACGAGTCGGCAAATCAGGGAAACGTCGAGATGTCCGAGTTGAGAAACGAGAGTCCGTGAAAAGTGCGAAAAAGCGGAGAGTATAATATATAATATACCTTTTGTTCGTGCAGCCGCACTTATTGCTTTCACAGGATGAATCGTTGATACTTAATACGCCAACCTGAATCTTTCTCGATGCGCCACGATTCGAAGGAACGGGGAGAAACTGAGAAATTGTTATCGATCGACCAAAACCAAAAATCGCATCTCTCGAAGGAATTGTTGAAAAATGATAAAACGATCAAGACTGCTGTAATTTATTATCGCATAAGCTTATAATTCCGTGAAACCAGATCGCGAAGATTACGTTGGCACAAAGAGGAAGAAAGAAAAGATTATTCGTTATTTCTCGCTGCTTTCCCCTGGGCGAAACTCGGGAATCGAAAAATCCTTTTTTTAACGAGAATTACTTTTACATCCCGTAGTTATACCAGCGCTTACAGTGAATAAATTGAAAAAAATTATGTATGTACTATTTTCTTAATATAATATAATTTAATACATTGGGTTCTTTCTTTCTGGAATCTACGACACGCTTTTCCGTTTATATCTTCCATTGTAAGAGATTTGACGTGGCAAAGATGAGAAGTCCGTGGTCGCAATCTCGGTTGTTCGTAGGGCTCTTTAGCAGGCCGTGCAAATGGGGATGCAACGGGTGCACCACATCCCGAAATTTTAATTAAATTCTAATTATTTTCTATTTGTAATAGTATTGTGACAGTATTATAAGTTTCGAGATCATAGATTTTTTGTAATTATTACCTTTAGGCTTTTTTAATATCAAGGATGAAGGGAGCCCCCGGAGTCGTTTGCACGTCTCTGCTCGTTCGTCCTGTGGAAGGAAACAATAGGTACAATACTTAGTCGTATAATTAATGTGCTGAGGTATATAGAGATAACTGTTACGATTACAATACAATCATGCAAAGGACAATTAAGGATCTCCACGATGACTGTCGTTCCGGTGAGGCTGCTTCTCATACGTATGCGTGTAATTTATATACGAGTATAATAATAATCCTTCGTTCTCCCCGACTCATATCTCTTCCGCACGACTTTCTGCGCGATGTGGCTTTTGTAATTTTGTAATTTCTGAAATCCTCCCGTGCGGGCCGATAAAAAGTGATTCAGAACCATCGTCGATCGTCGTGGGGGCAGGAGAGGAGCGTGCCGCGCGCTTCTCGTTAATTTGGAAGTACCGAGCTACCACGTTCGACCATTTTTATTTTTCTAAATTAATATTTTTTTTTCTAATATTAAAAAAATAGAAATTTTTTCAATTTTCTCTTTACACTTCAAGTGTAAAGAAAAATAAAAGGAGCGATTGATGAGAAGTTAAAAAATTTCCAAAGTCGTATCTTTATAATACGAGGAAAAATATTGATTTAAAAAATAAAAATAGTCCGATTGCTCGATACTTCTAATGTTAAAAAACGGAATCGCAATCCCGTGGAGTATCTCGAGCGATCTTGAAGAAAATTGCACGTTTGGTGAACAAACCACGTGGAAAATTCAGTCGACCGAACGAAATGGAATTCGAACTCGATGGATTGTATACCGTTGATCGAGGACTTCTGATTCTCTTTTCTCGTCGTATTGTCTGAATATTTTAAAGAATCTGAGGTAACCGCTATTGAGAAGATCACTTCCAATCCCATTGAATGTTAGTCTCTATCTGTCTGTCTATCTGTCTTCGTCGTCTCTCTCTCTCTCTCCTCTCTCTCTCTCTCTCTCTCTCTCTCTCTCTCTTCCCCTCTATGTAGCAAATTCTAACAGATATCAGTACAAATCTACAACCTGAATTAAGAATAACCGAGGGATATACATCGCTCGGAGGGACAAAAAGAAATTACGATATCGACGAGACACATATTTTTGGCAATACACAGATTTAAAGGATTTAAAGGATACCGAAGTAGCGCGTTAGTAGTTAGAGAGAACCAAGGAAACGAATTTCGTTCGAATGCATTATTTTTGACGACTGAAAGTTTATATGCTATAATAAAAGGATTATTAATAATTAATAATGATAAGGATATAGTAACGATTGTGTACGTAATTCGTAGGACGGATCGTTCGTTATCGCTTCTTATGCTATTTTACCATAAGTTGTGTCTTATAAGAATAAACATTGTAAATCAATAAAAATTGAATCAATTTTATTTTGTGTCGTGCGGTTATTGTGCATCTCAAATGGACGATTTTTATACGAGCATTGTTTGTTTTTTTTTTTAATGAATCATTTATGAAGCATCAATTGAAAAATAGAAATTTCTAGAAATTTCCTCGAATCTGATGTAATCACGTTGGAATTTTATAATTTTAATTGGTAAGGTATTTTATTATCGTACTGATTAATATTAACTAAAGTATTATTGTATTACGTGTCACACCAATTTTATGCGATTTGTCATCAATACGGTATATTAATTATATTTGTTAAATAAATTACATTCCGTAATAATGAAGAAACTATAAAAATTCTTATAAGATAGTTTTGAGATACTAATATTGCATACATCATAATTATGTATCAACAAAGGCTATCATAAAATATTTCATAATTCTGTATCTTTTTATAGCCAAAATATTAAATGATTTAAATAGAGAAAGTCCAGCGTGGGTGATCCTCATGGAGAAACTACAGAGGACAAGCACATTCTGACGAAAGCGTCCACACATTTAAATATATGTCAGAAGATGCGATAGTGTTTCGGATACATATATACATTAATGTATATAATAAACAATAATCAAGCTGATATATATTTAAAACAATCAAATATAGATGACATTAATCGGACAAGGTCTTAGCGTCGAATAATAATTTAATACATAAATTCAAAGCAAATGCTTATATCGCGAATCACATGTTGTTAACATACAAACTTGCAACGGAACTCACTCAAAGCTATACTTAAATTCCCTTCTTTTTCTTAATAAATCGATAATCAAATTTGAAATCGATTAATTCCCCACTTAACGAAATTCTTATCACGCACGTATAAACAAATTTTTGTATTTTTTATATCAGGTGCCTATCTAAATCTAATTTTAAGAATGTTTCTTTATGTAATCTACGTCTGACGATATCAATTTTAAGTATAGGTTGCAAAATTTTTATATGAAGCAAATTGACACGAGTTGATAACTTTTGATGTCATTAAAATAGCAAATGGTAAAAAAGATCTAAAGTAAAAAAAATTTTTTTGTTCTTGACAAGAATTTCATGTAGACACATATTAATGCATAAACTTTAATTGTAGAAAAGGATTTTTGAATCTATAAAAGTAATATATATAAAAAAGTTAGTATGAAAAACATTGCATTCTGTCGGTACAGTCAATTCCTTCAAGGAAACATATTTACTGAACACATTTTACGAATGAATTTTACGTTCAATACTAAATAGCTTTTAATCAGAAAAGGAAGTGTTCTGCTCGACAATCTTGTGCGAACAACGGAATAGAATAGACCTTCCGCTCTTAGATTTTTGTCCATTGCAACACATTTGAAAATTTTAAAGCTATCGTGATCTCAGTCTCTATCGGATTCTGTTGGATTCCATTATATTTTGTCAGTCTCTAGAAGTCCAGGAATTCCGCAATCAAAAAGTGGAAGCAGAAAAAAGAAATTTAAAGTAAATTTTCATATCTTTTTCATTTTTATGTGAACGCCGATGTACTACCGAAGGAATTCGATTCTTTCTACGAAATACTTTATTAACATATTTTCGGTTATATCTAGTATTTATCGTTATTTTTTGTTAATACGTTAAAATAATAATTTCGTAGATGAAATTCTACCACGTGAACAAAGGTGATACACGGTAAAAGTGATAAGAAAATATTTTTTTTCAATGGAACTTTTATGAAAAGGCATAAAAAGGCGGGAGGGGATAAGAAAAATAAAGTTGTAAGCTATACAATTCGTTTTATTAATTAATTTATTTTTATTAAATATTAATAACAGGGATTATTTCCTTATTATTACAAAATATATGTGATGGCACGTAGGTTTTCACGGATTGAAAAGTGAAGTAGAGTTCACACTACAGATAAGGTAGAGATAACGCGAGCGAATTATTAACAGAGCATACAACCCAATGAGCAGAATGTCTAAAATCGACGCATAAAGCGACGTCTACAATAAGATTTTAAGGCTTAAATCACCTATTGTAAACCGGGACTAATTTTTTCACAACTTAAATCTTAAAATGCCATTGGTCATCGCATAATAAACGCTGAATCCTACTTTGAGGCATTAACCAATCACGTAGCTCAATTTCATTGCGTCATGAATACGCGGCTTTTGTTCACTTGCTATGCAGTACTTAACGATACTGTGTTGTTTCTGTACGTTTGCGTCAGTCGTGCGGTTCATACTCGATCGAGGTGATTCGTGAAAGGCGTCGTTGCATTAAAGCAGGAATAATCAGGTGAGTATATCTCGCAAATATAATTGCGATTGCTTGTTAAATGTGATGCCATCTCTGTGGAGTCTTTTTTTGCGTGAAAAACTGTGAAAAAACTACGAGGAACATCTCGTTGAGGAGGAGAAACGCGTAGCACGTTTTTCCCAAAACGCGCGTGACTCGGGTCAGTTTCACACGCTTCGGAAAAGTGCATCGGTCTTGCCGCCATCTTGTTTATTGTGTCTGTTCACTTTTGGAGGGAAATTGATGTCGCCGTGCATTCACCGGACGTACGCGTCGTAATCTTTTATCTTTGTGACGGAATTTAAGCGATACGCGTGATTTCGTCATATTGTATTCTCAATTCGCGATATTCGCCAATTCTTTTTTTTTTTTTCAAATTTTCCCCTTTCTTGTCTTACTATCTTAATCAGTGTCGTTAACGAGGGGCGAAGAGTAGGGAGCCTTATTGTAGTCCGGCTCTTTCTTGAAGCAATCAACTAATTGATGAATGTGTTCGCTAGGATACGAAAGTTATAAACGCAGCTAAAGCGTATTCGCACTCATGGCACGTACTAAGCAGACGGCTCGTAAATCAACGGGTGGAAAAGCACCCAGGAAGCAACTCGCCACCAAAGCGGCGCGTAAAAGCGCGCCGTCCACTGGAGGCGTCAAGAAACCTCACCGTTACAGGTTATTATATATTAAATATATTTATGCAAGTCACAAATGTTTTTGATAGATAAATTGTTTGAGACTAATTTAAATGTAATAATTTATAATATAATAATAATTAAAATGAAATAATTTAAATGAAAAAATTGGATAATGAATATTTTGCGTGACAGTGATATATTGAACAAGATTGTATATTATTTAAATGAAAATATATTAACGGTTCTTTTTTGTGAAATTTTTAAATTATAAATCGGTATTTTTTTCAGGCCTGGTACTGTAGCTCTGAGAGAAATCCGAAGATATCAAAAGTCAACGGAGTTGCTCATCAGGAAATTACCTTTCCAACGTCTGGTTCGTGAAATCGCTCAGGATTTCAAGACCGATCTGCGTTTTCAAAGCGCTGCAATCGGAGCTCTGCAAGAAGCATCGGAAGCGTATCTGGTCGGCCTGTTCGAAGACACGAATTTGTGCGCCATTCACGCCAAACGTGTCACGATCATGCCAAAAGATATACAGCTCGCGCGACGAATTCGCGGTGAACGCGCTTAAATCATTCGCGATTACGCGAAGCATTCTCACTTTATTATCATTTGGACATTGTATGTTTCTGAACGATCTAAAAACTTTTTGACTCTCTTCCGTGTATGTTTATCATAGTTAACACACTGCCAACCACTGTAATAGAAGCATCAGAAAGACACGAAGAATAAGTGAGTCTTAGACTTTATAATTCGATGAAATATGATCATGATTCATACAATGAGGAGGATCTAAAGATTAAAGAAAGTGATAATATATTTGTTCGTAATCAAAGAGAAGTCAAAATTATTATTAGATTTTTATGTTTGGGTATCTAGCAAAAATAATAACATGCAACAATATTTTATATAGATCTCGTGTGTATTTTTTCTTTTTATAGAGTACAAGATATTAATGATTTACTCTAGAACATTAATCATCTTGCTTTATGGGGGCTGGCAACTTTCATTCAAATGTAATTCTTTACGTACAAAAATTTTTATTACTGATACATTAACAATATGTACTTTCATATAAAGGGATATATCTACATGTCAAGAAGTTATAGGGCAGAAACAAGTAGTTTATTAGTTGTTTATTGATAATACTATGCCACATATAGTTCGATTTGCATTTAGTCCTCACACATTAGAATTTTAAAAATTTGTCTGTAGTTGATATCTTATATATACGTACATATATATATATGTATATATGTGTATATATGTATATGTAAGTATATGTAAGTATATGTAAGCTTAGGAAAAATAAGTAAGTGTTTTATGTAACCCTAAGAAATTCATTAATAAACATATAAATACACATCAATAATACGTTACTGAAAGCGCGACAAGAGGTCTGCAGCTGGTATTTTACAAGACTATATTTTATTCGCAGAGATTTATATATCAGACTATACACTTGATTAGAGTACAAAAAATGCGATTTATTTTAACATTTATTTCGTTACAAATCGATGCTGTTTATTAGTTACTCGAGAACTTTTTGTTTCGAGTGCAGCCCTCTTCTTGAGTTTGCAATTGTAGATTATAAGTATCGTAACTATACTATCCTTATACAAGATATGTAATTGTAACATTATCGTTGCAAAATACATTTTCTAATAGATGTAATGAAATTGTACCTTGTATTTTCTTTTCGTGATATATTTTATATATATTATGCATCTCGCACACGCACGTGTATGTGTGTGTGTGTGTGTGTGTGTGTGTATTCTATATCTACTTATAATTTTTAATACACGTATAAATATGAATAGAGATCATATTTTTAATTTTATTGATAAGAAAAAAAGCACCTCTAAAAATGACACAGCCACAATCAGAAGGCTTATAAGCCATTCTTAGAGGCACTTATCGATAATAAAAAATTCCGAATATGTATCATAGTGTATAATCGCTATTTCCGGGCTCTAGAACCGCGTACGATCGCTCGCGCCTGTGCGAACATTTGCACTGAGCTGCACGTTGCTATCGATTCGCGCGAACGTCCGCGAGGCGATGAGGACGACAATGCGTGCGACGTGCGGCACAGTGCTCTATATGCATCGCGTTCCACACAGCGAGCGAAAATCTAGCGCGAGACCGAGTGCGTGCATATGTATGTACATGCGCGCGCTCACTCACTCACGCGGGATTCTCTCTCTTTCTTCTTCCTTTTTTTCTTTCTCTCTCAGCTTGGCTATAGGCCGGACATCGATCTCTCACGATTTCGCGGGTCGATATACGCGGCGCGAAATAGTCCTGCCCTACGTCACAGCCGGCCGCGCTATTATATCGCGGTAACGGCCACCTTTCTCTCTTCATGTAAATACTAACAGTGACGTCGCGTCATTGCTTCTCGATACGAGTTTTCCCTTCTTCTCTATCTCTCTCTTTTTCCTTTCTTCGTGTCACAACGTTTGCAGAGGCAGCTCTTGATCTAACGATAGCTAATCGACCGGACGAGCGATAATTAGACTGTGAGTATTATTCATCGGGAGAGAGAGAAAAGATGCGGGGACTATTTCGCGCGAGGAATCCCGTCGCGAATACGCGCGGAGTAACCACGACGCGCGCGTTCGATTTTTTTCATCCTCTTGTACACGCGAGACCAAAGAAAATGGTGAGGCCATACCGAGGCGCGGGCAAAAACGGCAGGCTCGCATTTCCCGGCTCTTTTCATATATATAAGAAATAATGCTTTTTCCTTCCTGGCAATCCAGATTAACGCCAAATTCATTAAAATCCAGATTAAACGCGTGGCGGTCGCCGAACGCCGGGGTCGCGCGTTCGCAGAGACAAAGCTTTCGTCTCACTTCCCCCCCGCCCCCACTCTTCTTCGCCCGTCTCTTGCCCTCCTGGACCCACGGTCCCATCCTACATTTATAGCGCTAAGTGTGCGGCCGATGGCTCTCAATTTGAGCGGTCGATCGCTGTGTGCGCGTGCGCGCGCGCGCACGTACCTTATTTATTTTATGCGAATGTGCGTATCAGATTTTTTTCACATACGCGCGGGAGGGGGGGAGGGAGGGCAAGCACCAAAGGAAGCTTAGCTTCGTCCGAACAAAGCGGACATACAGGAGCGAATGTACGATACGGCGATTGCGCTAGCGAAAAAGGAGAAACGGAAGTAGTACGCTCGCGGTCTCGTCTATTCGCTCGGCTCTACATGTCATATTGATCTCTCGCTCGTGCCCGTTGGGAAATCGTCGCTCTCATGACGCGACACGGCATTTGCACCCTGAAAATTCATTAGATTTCCGCGACGCGTCCATCGATCCATCGAACTCGCCACCCCCTCTCCCGACTTCTCGTTCTTCCGCCCGCGCCCCCTCCGCCGCCGCCGCGAGATGACAGAGCTGCCGTTTCTGTACGGCGATGCGACATTGTCCGCGTTCTTCCGTGCGCACGAGAGAGGAGTGCACGAGTTCGGAGAATCATCGGTTTGAGCGACTGAGCGTAGCGGAGGGTGGGACGGAGGGGGCGGCGACGACGACACGGCGAAGGGCGGCGGCGGAGTCGGCTTCCTACGCGCTCGGGAGAGCGTATCGTAGTACGATTTCGAGCAATTGACAGGGCACTCGCGCCGCACTCGATGCACCGGCGACCAATAAGGCGCGCCGGCCGGCCGACAGCCCGCCGCCGGATTGGCCGGCGGCACACCGCGGGCTCCTACGTGCCTCTCGCGCGATTTAATTTCCCGCGGCGGTGCGGCGCGGGGCGAGACGGGTCGGGACGGGGACGCGAGACGGGTCGAGGAGACGGGCAGGGGCGTAGCGAGGGGAGGTAGGGACGCGCGAGAGAGCCGTGGACTCGGGAGAGCGTCCACTGCCATCGGAGTGTGCGAGGAAACGGATAGTGTATCTAGTTCGCTTCGCGTCCCCGCTCGTGCCCGATAAACCCGCTCTCAGGTAGGTAAGACCGAATCCGCGCGGTGAAATCACCCGAGTGGTCACTTTTGCCTGCGCGCGCGGGCGCGCGCGCAAAAATGATCGGGATCCTTGAAGAATTAGGACCGGAGGAATTATTTAGGAAAAGTCCATCGCTGAGTTTTCACGCCACCGCGGGTTTCGCTCGCCACCATTTTGCTTGAGCGACGATCGCGGTTGCGGGACCGCGACGTCGAGCGGCGTCCCGGTTTCTCTCGAGCGCGCGTTGTTGACCAAGCCGATTTTTCTGCGGGAGCGTCGTCGTCGATCGTCTGGACAACCGGGGGTCCAGATCTCTAAGCGACGCTGCCCTCCGCGAACGTGAATTCCTTGGCTGACAGCGCGCGGTTTTTTTTCCTCTTCGCTCCGTCTCTTCCTCTCGTTCTCTTTCTCGCACGGCACCTCCCCCTCTCTTTGTATCTCTCTCTCTTTCTCTCTCTCTCTCCCGCCTTCACTTAGGAACGAAAGTTCGTTCATTGCGCAACGCGCGGCGTTTCTCGATACGCGGCCCCTCCGCGCGTACGTAGTACAGCAACGAATTGCATCCCCACCATATTACATCCACCACTACCGTCACCACCACCTCCATTACTATTACCATCCCCTTCCTCCTCCCATTGTATACTTTTCCCATTTTCAAGATTCTCTCTGAGCATCGCTTAGCATCGCTATGGGCATCGTCGCGTTGTCGATTATCGATTGGAAAATTGATTGATGATTCCGATACATTTCTAATTCTCTGCAATTAATAAATTAAATTTAATAGCGGCAGGAAAAATAGATGAAAGCGAATACGGTCGTTCAGAAAATTCCTCGGGATTCCCTCGAAATTTCTTTGTAATAGAAATTCCGTTACTTGAAGAATAATATTTACAATTGAAAATGTCACATAGGTTGAATCATGGCGCGTACTAAGCAAACAGCCCGTAAATCAACGGGAGGTAAAGCGCCTCGGAAGCAGCTCGCGACAAAAGCGGCCAGGAAGAGCGCGCCGTCCACCGGCGGTGTGAAGAAACCGCATCGTTATAGGTAAAATTCAAAAAGAAAAGAGGAAAAAAATACACTTTTCGCAAAATAAAAAAAAATAGACGATGTTCCTCGAATGTTAAGGTTCGTTGAAGATTATAACGTCTCTGTGATTTCTGCATGACAGACCCGGTACTGTGGCTCTTCGAGAAATCCGAAGATACCAGAAGTCAACGGAGTTGCTGATCAGGAAGCTGCCTTTCCAGCGACTGGTGCGTGAAATCGCGCAGGATTTCAAGACCGATCTGCGTTTTCAAAGCGCAGCTATAGGCGCCCTCCAGGAAGCGTCTGAAGCATACCTCGTCGGTCTCTTCGAGGACACTAATCTGTGCGCGATCCACGCGAAGCGCGTAACGATCATGCCTAAAGACATCCAGCTGGCCCGGCGAATCCGCGGCGAGCGTGCTTAAGAGACGCTATGTAATTCGCATACATACCGTTCACTGCGACCATTATTATTATTAATTATTATTATTAATTATCGTTCGAAATCGTCGTGGATGAAGTACTTTCATTCCAAGGTTTACATATTACGTTTTCATATAGAGACACACGCCACAGCATCCATCCGGTGATTCTCATTTTCGACACAATTCAATTTGACTTGGCAATTACGAGTTGCACAGAAGTATTTTCATTTCGTCTCTTCTCTTTTTCCCCTTCCCAACTTTGACGATTGTTTATCATGCTTTTTAGTTTAGTTTACGTGTACCGGGTGGATTTACACAATTTTTTTTATTTGCTTTCAAGTTTTGCGCGTACGAGATGATTTCAGGATCAAGCGTTCGTTTGTGGTTTCTTTTCTCACCATTTACCTTCGTATCGTCATTAATGTTACTCATAACAACGTCATTATATCATTAATATTCGACAAAAAAAGAAAATGAAAAAAAAAGTGTGCATTAGAGATAAGGACATTCTCATAGTGACTCGATGTAGTGCTTAACATATTAGATCTCTGATTGTACTCAAGTTACATGAATCATTTTGAACACCTACGCATTGTGTAAAAATTTGTGTAAAAATAAACGCATTTCGTAAATAAATCTAAATCTAGCACGACTTTTACCTTAGCATTGTCCGCCATTTCGGCCATGCTGCCTATATTGGAAGCCTGATGTACAATTCATGTAATAATCAAAGGTATACGTCCATGAATGAATAGGATTTTATTGAATGAAATTCACATTCTCATATTGATACAATTCGATTGTGATTTTCTATTCAGGATAACAATTTTATATCTTGCCAATAACTCTTTTTGCAGTTTAAAGAATTAAACTTTAGATGTAAATCGGCGCAGTTGCATATTGCTAGCCTTTGTTATAATATATACACATAATTATTGGAATCCATCCAATCGTTCGTCGCAAAAAAATAATTACTTTTCCGATAAAGGAATTTTATTTTTTATGGAATATTTAAAAAAATAGAAGAATTACATATATGTAGAAATACGTTTGAAGCGCTAAAAAGTACACATTTTTACAAAGTATCTGCACTAATTATTTATAGACAGTGGTAAATATAGTTATAAATTATACAACTACGCGTTAATTATCAAGTTCATAAATTATTTATTACTTGTGTAATTACCTACATACGTCACAAATATATTTCGTTTTTAATAAATAACGATATTCCATCACTACTATTCATATTTAACACGCACGGAGCGCTCGAGGCAACAATATAAGCTACACATCATAAGTTAAATGAAAGAACGATTTAAAAAAAATTCTACCAATCATACAAGTAAATTATCATTTTACTTCGCAATATTTGTGCCTATTATCATCTCTAATGAGAATACAAGACTCTATCGAGGCCATCGATTTCATAAAAGACTACGAACTAAGATTCTCGCGTGACTTAATATTCTATTGCCTCAAGTCCTCCACTTGTATGCGCATATTTACAAACATTTTTTTTTTAAGCAACTTTTATAATGTCGCACGATGTCGGAGAAGGAAGCTATTAAATGTCTCGACGCAATTAAGGCAAAGAAAAAAAAAGAGTACCTGATTAAGATATATAAATATTTGGATATATAAGTATAACGATACTTTGTTACTTTTATCTCATTATTTTGTGTTATATTTACACGAAAATTAATTTATCACGTTTACACAGTTACACGTTGTTGCGCGTGGCGATCATATAGATTCATATATAATAATGTAGCGTATAATAGATCTGAACGTTAGAGAGAGATATTGATTTGAGGTCATTAGAATATATATATATATATATTTTTTGTCTTCACTTATTATTAACGACAAGTTTACGCACTGAAAATTTTCTTCTCTCATGACAAAATATACCTTTTATCTATTGATGAAAAAAGAATGCGGGAAATACTCCATAGTACGGGGTACTTGTAGAAGTGTTACATTCTCTGTTAACGACATTTGACAGTATCATTAAAATATCGCAATAATTACAGCCCATGTCATTCGACATATTATTTCATACTTGGAACAATTGGGTATTACAGTGATGACTCATCGACTTGCCGTTATAATTATTCTACGCGATGTTTTTTAAGGGGATATCGCGACGAACGTCATTAACGCAGAATGGAATACCGCTACTGGGAAATTACATACGCGCCGAGGAAATATGCGAGGATATTTATTACCTTCTTTTTTTGTTTTGTATACCAAGAAAAAACAGAATTGAACAGTGATTTTATTTTTCATGCAACTCGGCAATGACGACTCCTTCCGATTTTGCGTGGACTCTCTTTGTGATTAACTCAACGAGACTTGAATGAAATTCACCGTTATGGGAGTTTCCGACTGACATTAACATCGGGATTGCAACGTGATGCGCGGACATATGATCGCTGCGACATTATATCCTTTTTTTTTTCCGTTACGTTCGCTTACAATCGAATGTGGTTGTTGTTTCCTGAGGCTGGGCTTCGGACTTGTCGTCTAGCTCTAATTGAACAGATGCAACAATCTTTTGTTATAGCTTACCTAATACTTCAAAAAAGAAGAAGAAGAATATACGGAACCGCGTGTACGAGGTCATTTTACCATAGTGAACATTTAAACATTCAGCGGTTTGACATCCATGCATAAATTCGCTAAATACGCAAATTATATTTAAATTAATTTATATATTTATATATAAGTTAATATATATAAATATATAATATTGAGAAAATGCGATATTAATAACATCCTTATCGTATTGCATATAAGGATGTAATAAAAATAACAACGGTTATTCATGCAAGAAGGGATTCGCAAGTTTGTTTCGTATTCTGTGCGATATACGATACTATTAATATTTTTGCTTTCTTTATGAATTGAGCCATAAATAATCTCTCGTAATGGCATTAACCGTGACTCAACATGGCAGTAAAATGAAGTAAAAAGAAAGTATCCTTTATGCGTATCAACGCTGTTTCAAAGTCTTCGAAGCATCACACAGTTTTATCTTACAGAACAAAGCAATTTCTCGATGTAATTGCACATTGTGCCGTAGTGCTTGGATCTCTATATACATTATGTACACGCATATACTAGCCCTAGATTTAAGAATATGTAACTTATCATACCGTAGGTTTTTTTCATAATTTTCGGACGCTTTGTACTTGGAGGAATCTTTTTCTATACGCGCGCGAAATTGAGATATTAAATTAGTACAAAAATATGTATTTTGTAATTGGTGGCTCACTCCGTTCTTTATAAAGAATTTCTGGAGAATTAGGACTTGAGTAATAGTTAGCGAGAAAGCATTGTGTAAAATACACACTTGTATCTATCTCCGAGGAATGATACAAATTTTGACCTAGAGAATTAAACGACATATAACTAATATCATATATGTATGTACATTTTAATTGTAATTGCTTTATGTTTGAATTTGTACGAATAACGTACAAATTCAAACATTCTTACGAGAGTGCTGTATCTATCTTAATTTTGCATTAAGATCTTTCATGCATGCAACATAAGTGCGAAGAATTATTGTACATATTTATCTCGCGATAAGCATATACATAAATGTACACATAAATAATTTTTCAATTTTAAAAAGTTTAATCAAATAAAATTTATGCATAGTTTTCAATCGAATAATTACATAGTTGCTCATAATAACATGGCACAACATGTTTAGGAAATAAATAATAAAAATATTTTGTCATTGTCATCAATTACTTGTACAATTAGTCTTTAACAATGGTTTTTAAGAAGCATAAGCAGACGAACTATAGATTTTTTTATAAAAGCAATTTTATATCTTGACTGAGCAAATTAAGACAAATCTAATGACGTAATTTTTAATAGCGTAAATTTTATTAAAATATAATTTGCTATATGACAAGGGCAGTCGTCTATCTCTATCAAACATCGCAATATTCTAGAGTCAGTACTACATAATATTGCGTAAAAAGCCTTAAATGTAAATAAACCGAAGGTCTTGACGCTAAGACCTAAACAAGCATAATCAACATGGGAACACAACCAACATACTATATTAACAATAAGTACGATCGAATCAGTGAATATATCATGTATCCTATTATCTCGAGACTTATAGGGGAACATGTTTTCGAAATTAATGTTAACTATAAAATAAGAAAAAGACATAAGATACATGATATTTTCTTGTGAGTACGGTGCACAACGAAACAGGAGTACAACAACACAGTTTAACGTGATTAAAGGGTGATTGGTGTGTTACCTGTAGAGATCGCGAACTTGATCTTCTCGAAACGCGTTTCTGCACGTGTTCAGCTTGTTCTCCAACGCCTGTGGAACAGAATAATTACAATAAAAAATGTGCTACTTCATTATGATACACCCTAGCTATAATAAACAATACGACAGATGTTACATTGACAAGTTTACGATAAATGTCGAGTTAATAAGGCAGCGACACGTGTTAGATTAAAAAAATATTAGGAGCATGTAGAGTCATTGTTTTCATAATTTAACACAGGAATAGGATGTTCGGCGATGCATAAAACAGGAACGATGAACGTGGTCAGAAGCGTTTGTAATAAAAGCGAAGAAAATAAAATATCGAGACCTGCTCTTTAAGGAGATGCAAAATAATATAATGATGAGAAATCACGATGAGGATCTGCACGCGGTCGGTCTAGGTTGTTGCCTTATACACTGAGTAGACGCGCGAGTCTGGGCCGCCGATAGGCGAGTAGACGAGGTGGTATTCGTTATTTGTCCGCTCGGACAAGTGCATTTTATTCTCCTACAGCCCATACAGACCCACCTGTCAAGCTACCAAAACGCCACGTCACACTAACTCCCAAGTTCCAAGTGCAAATCATGTCCAACTTGTTTACAGTGTATAAAAATATTTACATCTGTTGTAGTACACATATAATCATTATTCTATTGACTTGACTGCGACACGAGATCTTTAAAATAGTTGCTCAGTGCTATCAAATTCATATACAGCAACTATAAACGGTGTAACTCACGTTACGCGTAGATATAGAAAAAAACATACAAGCCATGCCTCAAGCTTAGAAAACTACAAATGTAAAAAAAAAGAAGTTTTGTACATGCTTACCCCGACTTTTCGCATAAGATCACCGATCATATTCATTGCCAGTATTCTAGTGCAGGGTGGTAATGGTTGGCTCATGTTGTTGTTATTGTTGTTTCCAATAACACCCCCTACCATCCCATGTCCAACTAACGAAAAATAAAAATTAATATAATTTATTTGTGATCAAATAAAATTATAAATCCATTATTAGATTTATTAAATTTTAATATCATGTAAAAAAAGATTTTGGAAAAGCCGAAAAAAAAAAAAGAAAATGCTGCTAAGAATGTTTATTTAATTACATCAGTGAGAATACTGCACACTGGTTTTTTTTTCTTTTTTTAGGTCCATAAATTGTTAAGTAGTCAAATATTTCAAAATGAAAGATTTATTTTTTAAAGTTTATCAATATTTTTATCTTCTTATCCATTCGAGCACTTTTTGATGTTTATATGATTCATCACATTTATCAATTTTGGAGATGGTCTTCTCAGCATACGAAAAACACACTGTATCCTAATAAAAGCTTTGTGCGACCTACTTTTTATCGGCGAAGTTGTTGTGTTATTCGGAGGTATGGTTGGTGGGACTATTTGGCTAGCGGGTGAATTTGATTCTAATTCGGCCTGTAGCTTATTACTATCGACAATGCTATTGCGAACTCTTTCAGCAGACTTGTTATTATCTGCATGATGTCTTTCGTGCACTTGTATTTCCTGTTTTAAATCTGAAATATCGCGAAATATTAGTCGTCATTTTAAAGTCAAGAAACAAAAGAAAAAAGGAGATTACTGACCTCTAACTTCGTCCATTAATCTTTGCACTATGACTTTTAGGCCTTCTTTTTCATCCAATTCTGATTCAAGCAAAGCATTTTTTTCTATAGCTAAATTAAACTTAGCTTCTATTTCCTCTTCTGTGACCCTATTTATTCTATAAAAAAATATCATCTCTTATCAACTGCCAAATTATCAATCTTTAATTCATCAATTGGAAATATATATACCTGTGTGCTCTTTCTAAGTCGTCATTTTTTTGTTCGAGTTCCCTAATATATTTTAGTAGATGTTCATGTTGTTGCTGTAAATCTTGCGCCTTTCCCTGGAACATGGCGCAATCTGCAGACTGTTGATCTAGTCGTGTCCTCAATTGTTCGACTTCTGTGGCAAGTCTTGTATTTCTTTGTCTCAATTCCCTATTTGTCTTTTCCGCTTGTTCCAGAGAAGTCTCCAACTCTTTCTCCAACATCTGTGAATTTTCCTGGAATTCTTCCAATTCCCGTTCGACATCATCTTTCCTGTGACATCAGTAAGTACTGTATTAATTTCAATTATTTTCCACTTTGAAGAGTTATCGTAGCATATTTTATTTGTTTTGTAATTCTATATATTTTCAACATTATTTTACTTATGATATTCTGACAACTGTTTATCAAAAATCATTTTGTCCCGATAGATTGCAATATTATATTTCATCAAAGCTTGATATATGAGGATAATCCACCTTTGAAGCAGTTGATTTGCCAGATCCATCCAGTATTGAATCTCCTCATCCTTGGACAGAAATTCTGGCGGATCCAAATCCATCATTGCGCTTTCGGATGACCACAAGGTTGTGCGCAATCCTGTTGTCCTCCGATCTTCCAATGTAATCCGAGAGATGTTACACAGATACAATTGCTCTGTCTTACGCGCTGCACGTCAACATTCTGCAAGGAGGCAAGCGTGTCAAAATCTTCCGGACGGAGGAAACGCAAATCGAAAAGGATCTAGGTGTCCGTATTTTTCTTATTCTCGCCCAGCATTCGAGTCATTCGTTAATTTCGATCACGTCGAAAGCGCATCCCGCTCGAAATTCCATTTGCGGCGAGAGTTTTCAGAATCAAAAGGGATCGGTAGGGAACAGAGGACGATCGGGAATGCTTCGCGGATGCACTCTCGACGTCTAGTGGATGAGGATGGACCTTGGGCAATCACTCCGCGGCGAGAGACGTAGTCGCGTGCGACGCCTGATGTCATTACCGTGTTATTATGAGTCACACTGGCACGGGCAGGCGAGGAGGTGCAGGCAGGCGGGCAGACGGACGCGTAGAAAAATCGGTGGTGCACTGACGGCAGGAGAAGGAGAGAGGGATAGTTGTGAGACAGGAACCTTTCAACGGATGTCGATGTTCGTATCTCGTACGTCGGGCACGCGCATTCGACCCCGTCGTCACGTCACGGCTCGCCGATCGCGGCCAATGATCGTGTTAAGGAAGAAAAGATAACTCGACAAGAGTGCCCTATAATGATTGGATTGTATTCTTGAATCCAAAAGAATGTCCATCCAATCCAATCCAATCCAATCTCAGTTTAGATCTCCGAAAGTAAGAACCAATCATATTCGAGTGCTACTCAGCCGCTTAAGGTCCGGTTGCACCAACATTATTTTGCCTTTAGCGAGACTTGAATATGTGCCTGTCTTTATCTTTCTTTCTAAATAAATAAAGATACATATTTAAATCTCGCTAAAAGCCTAAGTGTCGGTCCACAATAAGTATTTAATCTTTAAGTCGTAAGAAATTGACCAATCATAGTCGATTATTCTGTTCATATTCGATTATAATTGGTCAATTTCTTACTTCTTAAAGCTTAAGTCACCTATTGTGGACCGACACTAAGTAACGTTGGCGCAATCAGACCTAAGTGTCTTATGTCCATAGTGTTAAAAATCGATTCGATTAAAATCAATCGTATTGACCGAAATAGTCCGAAATCTTGGATTTCGATTTCTATCGTGGACACAAGGCTTTAGAAAAACAAAATACTTATAATCGGATCCATCCACGAACATCGGTTCTAAAGGCTTATCCAAACAAAACTGGTATAGTTGAATAACCATGTACACAAAAAATTATCCAATCACATTTTACGCATATCCTTAGGGTCTGTCCAAATAAACTTGCATAACCATGTGCATAAAAAAAATAATGTAATCGCATTTCTAATGTAATGATTTAGAATATGAGCTGTAGCGTCAAACGATGCGCATCTAGGCCTCTATTCTTGAAATATATCGCAAAACAAAAATCCTATAGTATATGTCACGTATACTATAGAATTTTCATGTGTCAAGAATAGAGCTCCAGTGGTCCGTTATTAAATGACACGTAATAATAATGGAACAATAGGTTTCAATGAAATCGGCCTGAAATGTGCAACTAAATTCTAACTCTGTTTTAATGTAATTGGGTTTTGTTCTTATTTCCTCACTGGATCTAATTATATAAATCAATCATATTAAAAAATCTTATTAAGCTGCTTTTTCTTAAAATGCCAAAATCTTGGACCATTATGTAAAGTGAATGTGATTCGTCCTTCCATAATTATTAGTCTGCATTTTTATGCCACTTGAGATTTTGCTCTCTTTATTGCTGATTTGATATTTTTGATTTATTTTTTATCGAAGTTGTTATTGTAGTCTTTATTGGGTCTATTTTGAGTTAGGGTCATTCTTAGCCTATGTTTCTTGATTTCAGATTCAGATTAAGATCATTTCATCATTTAAAGAAAAAGAAAATAAGAGTAATAAAAGGAAAAGAAAAGGAAGGAATTTGATGCTATTAAAAGTAATAAAAAAATAAAAATTAAAGAATAAAAATAGATAAAATGATACAAGAGAAAGATAATTTCAAATGAAATAAAACACAAGTTATTAATAATCATAGAATCTAGCAGAAAAATTATATATTATTTAATACAAAAAATATATTGTTATGAAGAATGCCTGCATATTGTATTGTTCCTGGCTGTAAAAGCAAGTATAAACAGAAGAGCATAAATGAATTTCAAAGTAAATTACAAAATGAATCACAAGATGAGTTGGAAGACACACCAAGAATATCATTTCACCAGTGAGTACATTACATATAACCTGGAACATTATGATACTCTGATGTTTTTATCAATATAAATAAATTTTAAATCATTATTTATTTTTATTTTTTCTAATTTTTAAAACTAAAAAAGAAAAAAATGAACGGAAATTAAAAATGATATTCTTAAAAAATGGACATCAATTAAATAATATTGTCTAATAATTTATTGTTTGATAATCAAATTGAAGCCTACAATTTCTATGATTTATGTATTGTGGTTATAAGATTCATTTATTATATTGAATGTTGCCAGATATAATCGTTTCTATTATTGAATTGTATATAATATACAGATAATTAATTATTATTATGTATCGAGATATTTTTCTATTTATATTTATTATATTTCTTTTCTTATAGCTTTCCTTCGGATCCTGTTAAAAAGAATATGTGGATAAAAAGTCTTAAACTTGAGGACAAAATTCTATATTCGACAAGTACTGTTTGTTCTCTTCATTTTGAAGAAAAATTTATAGACCGTGCATGTATGACAAAAGTAAGACTGAAAGAAAACGCCATACCATATGTAAGTATGTATAATAACATATATGTATCAAATATATAATTATAAAAATTAAATATAAAAAACTAAATTAAAGTAATATCATAAAATAAGTCTTTATAAAATTAAAAAAAATATTTTGATGAATAATTATAGTTAATTGAAAAAGCAATAGCCGACAATATTTGTAATTTACATATGAAAGATAGGATCAAATTAGAAAATGAAGCTACACTTTCTCACGATAACAGTAAGTTTTTTTTTATATTTTTAAATAATGATTATTTTAAAATTTGTGTGCATAAAATATAGATATAACAATTTCATTGTAGATTTAATATGTAATAAAGAAACAAACACCTCACCTTTAATATTGCGAAAAGTACAAATGGTTGAAAAAGAAACCAGAGTTTCACCTGAAAGAATATGGAATTCTCCGGCTGCACAAATGATTAAAGAAATGAATCATATAACAATTAAGGATTTGAAGAAACGAATTAAAGTATTGGAACAAAAAGTTAGGGAAAAAGATAAGAAAATTGTAGTTATGAAAGATATTCTGCGTGAATTAGAAGTAGACTATATCAGTGATGATGAAGATTAATGTAAAATTAATCCAAATGTCTTAAAATCGTTTTTGGTACAACTTTAAGAACCGTGACATAAAAGAACTTAAGCAGTAAGTGAATCAGCCAATTACAGTTGAGAATTTGAGTAAGACAGTAACATAAGCAGTAGCAAATCCGTAACGTTGATTTCTTTACTGCCTAAGTTTTTTTATGTGCCAGAGCCCTAAGATGTCGAACTAATCACAAAGCAATATTCATCGTTTGTTTTTATCCGCCTTTGATTGATATTTCAATATAAGAAGAAACCTATTTATTATGAATTTTACATGTATTACATTATTTTGACGCCTTATTTATATTTGAAATTATTTTAAATATATTATTTAGAAGCAAACTCAAGGTGGTCGTTAATTTCAGAATATGATATACGAAAAGTTGAATCCATGAACAATAGTTGGCATGGCCGCACGTGCGCATCTCTCATCAAAAATTCTCAAGTTTATAAGAAAGATTAAAAGTCCCCAGAAATGTCATAGCTGCGTTCAGCAGAGAAAGCGGCTTTGCAACCGTATAAAAATCTTTGATATGATTGGTGTTTGCCCTTAGTTCCTCATGAATCTAAATGTATAAACCAATCATATTGAAGAATCATTCTTCGCTGAACGCAACCATAGAGTTCAAATTTTTAAAGTTCGCGACACTGTAGTCAGGTATAAAAACAGATCACCCTTCCCATATCCTCCATTTTCTTCGTCAGCAGCATCATGGTGAGTTGTGCACGTTTCAGAATCCAGCAAAATCTACAATTTGTTTAAACATTTAGATTGTAAAACTACAAAATCATACTCTTGAACATTCTATTTGGACTTTTAAACGAATATTGAAACTTATATCAATATACAGTTAGTGTATTTCGATGAAAATGAGAAGGTGATCATGGTGCACATGGTCTTCCGTGTAACGCCTCACAACGGTTTTTATTACTCCACTATGATGATCAGATTTATAAAGTTTATGGTTTTCGTCTGAATAATAATGACGATATCGCTCTAGGGCGGTCTGAGTTTTTTTTTAATCGAAAAAAAATTAGTCTTGCGTATTTGCCACGTGTCTCACATTTTCGCGTCTCATTGCAGTCGCACAGGAAGTTCAGCGCCCCTCGACACGGGTCGATGGGTTTCTACCCAAAAAAGAGATCCCAGAGGCATCGCGGAAAGGTAAAGGCTTTTCCGAAGGATGATCCCAGCAAGCCTGTGCACTTAACGGCTTTCATCGGCTACAAAGCTGGTATGACTCACGTTGTGAGGGAAGCCGATCGTCCGGGATCAAGTGAGTAACTTATATAAGAAAAAATTTAATTAAAATTTTAAGTAAAATATTGACGTTAGAGGTCTAAATTGTTTTCAATCATCCTTATAATATGATACTTAGTATTTTATTAATAATGCGACGTGTTAACTTGGATGTCGATCGAGGCAGAAATGCATTGATCCACCTGGGTTGCAGCGCGAGAGCTGCTGTCAATGCAGTATGTTTTCAATGCTGCCATGTCGAATAATAACCCCGTGCACTGCTCACGCAGAACGCATGGAAGCAAGGTATATTCCATAAACTCGTTGGAGCCCATTGGGCAGTGACCATTGAGACAAACCATGCCTAGTACAGTTCCTTCTAAATTAATTTTTGCATTTTATTTTAGATACACATTGTAAACGTTAATTGTTTGTTTTCAGAGGTGAATAAAAAGGAGATTGTAGAAGCAGTTACTATCCTCGAGACACCACCAATGATTGTGGTTGGTCTTGTCGGATATATTGAAACGCCACATGGACTTCGAGCACTTGCCACTGTCTGGGCTGAGCACTTGTCAGAGGATTGCCGCAGGCGTTTCTACAAGAATTGGTTAGTAGAAGTCATTTTTATGTAATCATATAATTTAAACTTATAACAAAGAACGAGTAACTTCATTTTGAATTCATTGGAATTATAAATAAGCTACGATGTGCTAACCTGGACGTTGATCAATTCGGAAACGCGTTGATCCGTCTGGGTTGCAGTATGAGAGCTATCTTTAATGTAGTATATTCTCGAGACTGCCGCGTCGAAGAGAAACACTGTGCTTTGCTTGTTGCAAAATGCATAGAAGCAAGGTATATTCCATAAACTTTTTGGAGCCCATTGGGCAGTGACCATTGAGATAAACCATACCTGGTACAGTTCTTCTCTTTAAAGAATCATTATACTATTATTTCACATATACAATATTAAAACCATCGCATCAGCTCTCCGCTCATACGATGAGAGTGATAATTTGGACATAGCCATTAAAGCTGGGCTTTTAAAACATGGCTGGTCTAAAAAATGTGTCCAGTCTCCTCTCATCACGATGAGACTGGCACGTTACAGATATCCCGATGGTGTACTGGGACGTGTACACAGACGGGCATTGCAAATGATTTTCCAACAGGTACAAGAGTAAGAAGAAGGCGTTCACGAAAGCATCGAAGAAATGGCAAGATGACCTCGGTCGCAAATCCATCGAGGCAGACCTCAAAAAAATCAAGAAGTACTGCAGTGTTGTTCGCATTATCGCGCATACTCAGGTAATTAGAACGATTCTGGAGTATTAATAATAGCGACAATGGGGTATTAAAGATTAGAGAAATACAGAGAACTGTAGAGAAATGAATAAATTGGTTTATCTTATTTTCTAGATGAAACTATTGAGGCAGCGTCAGAAGAAGGCTCATATCATGGAGATTCAATTGAACGGTGGTACTATCGAGGATAAGGTGCAATGGGCGCGCGAACATCTGGAAAAACCAGTGCCCGTTAGTAACGTATTCGCTTCCGACGAGATGATTGATGTTATTGGAGTTACAAGGAAAAGGGTACAAAGGTATGTCTTTACACATATAAATTTGTTTGTGTGTGCTATTTGCCCTCCCATTGCCCCAAGATTGCCGCTTTTTTGCCCCCCCCCCCCCCCCCCCGACCAGTACATGCACACATCCAGAAAAGCATGCTTATAGAAAAATACTTTGGACTGTATGATGAAAAAAGCATGACGTGCACTTATCTGATTATCTTGAGGATAATACCATGCTGCCTTCCTACTGAAGTCCCCCAAAAAGAGACTAACTGTGAATCGAATTTGTTTGCCCTTATTTAGCGGAGCACGTGTGACTTTAAAGAATTGACATTTTTTCGCTTCTTACAGGTGTTACATCCAGGTGGCACACGAAGAAATTGCCACGCAAGACTCACAAGGGTCTGAGAAAGGTTGCCTGTATTGGTGCTTGGCATCCCAGCCGCGTGTCCTTCACAGTCGCACGTGCTGGCCAGAAAGGATATCATCATCGCACAGAGATGAACAAGAAGATCTACAGAATCGGTCAGGGAATTCACACCAAGGATGGCAAGGTAATTATCGCTTTAGATTCGAGGGATAACTAATGCCTCTTCCCTAAGTCGATCTTTTAAGATATGAGGAAAAGATTGATTTTCAACTTCGAAAGAGGCGAAATGAACACTACTTGCTCATAGTACCTAACGCATAACTTTTCTATTAGTGCTTTAGGTTTCCCAGTCAAGTTACAAAAAATTGGACATTACGAACGCTTTAAAATTATTCATTGAAATTGTTATTTATCACGATATCTTTTTACAGATCGTGAAAAACAACGCCTCAACGGAGTACGATCTTACTGAGAAGACTATCACGCCTATGGGTGGCTTCCCGCATTACGGTGAAGTAAACAATGACTTCATCATGATCAAGGGATGCTGCATGGGTCCGAAGAAGCGCGTGATTACTCTCAGGAAGGTAAGAATGAATAATAACTAGCAATGATATATTGTTCTGCATTTCCATGATGTATTCATAAAGAGCCCAGCACAATTTTGATCACAATGATAGTTACAAATGATAGGACTGATTCGATATTTGATGTTAAACTAATCGATGTTTAAAAGCAAAGTTACATAACATTGACGCGTGTTTTGCAGTCCTTGTTGGTGCATACCAAGAGATCAGCGCTGGAGAAAATCAATCTCAAGTTCATTGATACCAGTTCCAAATTCGGACATGGTCGCTTCCAAACTGTCGCTGACAAGACTTCCTTCATGGGTCAACTCAAGAAGGACCGTCTGCGCGAGGAAGAAGCGCGAAATGTCGGCTTGCCGACCGCCCAGCCAGCGCAATAAAATTCTATTGCAAGATTTATGAGAAAAAAAATAAATTTTTAAAAACCATATATGCTAGACTCTTTATTTTGTCATATATTCATATTCTTTCTCGAAGGGAATATAAGTCTGAAACATTTTAATAACATTTTAATTCTCTGTTAGTGTAGATTGTTAGTGTAGATGTAGATTGTTTTATGTAGAGCTGTAATCTTTCAATTTTTAAAATTAGAAGAAAAAGATTATGTTCATTCTAGTCTCTAGTTTCATTCACAATTTTATTTTTGGATATAAAGATAAGAACTTGCATAAAAATAAAATACTGAAATGATTGAAATAATTGAAATGTTTTGAGATTGATGTGTTTCTTATTCAAATTCGGCAGCAACAAAACTGCACAGCCAATCAAATTCCTATTTCTCCCTCTCTGGATTCTGTCTTTCAGTTAATCTGTCTGTGCATCGTGCGGCAACGTGATCTACACCGTGCGATTGGCATAAAGAAACAATTTTATAAGGTTGATATTAATTGTTATTGATCTTTTTCGCGACGATGGCGGAGAAGGATAATATATTATACAAATTCATGAATACCATGTTCTACGTGTTGGATACGCCGGTAACTTACGTCCGAGGTATTATCTAATCATCCATAATCATGGTTATGTTGTTCCCAACTGAATGAACATCTTTCCCGTTTCAGAGAAAATTGTAGTGCCGAACCAAAAGAAATATCCGTGGTATCATCAACAGTATCGTCGCGTGCCGACGATCGACGAATGTTATACGGACGACATAGTTTGTTATACCGAGGCAAATTGTCAATTCGAACGCGACAAGTAAATTAAAATTTTATATTAGACTAAAAAAAAAAAAAGGGAAGCAACAGAATAAATCCTCTATTATTCATAGAATAATCACATCAATTGCTTCCATTTATTCTTGATCTTCTAATTCTTCTTTTTTCCTTTTCAGACAAGTAGAAGATGAAATTCTAACAATTCTGAGAAATCGTTTCGAACAGTGCATTTTCTATCACGGCAAGGATAGACACTTCTGCGATGAGTTGAAAAAGACTTATGATGATGCAGCTGTCGCTTGGTTTATTAAATGTACGTCATGTATCTATGATGGAAGTTACAGTATCGAGATTCTAAAACTAAAAACAAATTTAGATCTTAATGCTTCATTACAAAATCAAGTTTTATTTTTAATCTAATTGAATCAAAATCAGAATCAAAAAATTATATTTTATTACCTAAAGGAATCTATGGAGATCCCACTATATCATTTATCAATTAAACTCAACTTAAATGCTCAGAAAATTATAAAAGTTCATCACATAGCATTCAAGTTTAGCTTGACATAAAGGATTACCATTTTTACTTGATCTTTCAAATGTGCGTATAGATGGTGAAATGGGAATAGGCTTGAATGTAAAAAATGCATATATGAAGCAGAAACATCGTATGATCTGGGAACGCCGTCATGGTCCAGTAGGTACCGGTATGAAAGGGCAAGCGACTGAAGCATAGCAATTTGCAGTGGCATCGTAGATGACAATTTAATGGCAAACGCATTCACAATATTATGGATGTGAATCGCAGGTTTGCTTGCAACATGTACAGATGTGTTGTGAATTAAGAAAACGGCGGGATAATAAAAGTAAAAAAATTTATCAGAATTTTAATCTCATCTCATTTGCATCTCTGTAACAATCCGTATCTTATAACGATATAAAATCACGAGCGCGCACGCGTATCGATAGTAAGTATCTCTGAATATTGCATCAATCAATCTTTCCTTTTATTCTTCCATTGTACAATATATAAAAAAGATTATACCTATTGTACATGTATATCAAATTAATTTATGAAATACTCATTTAGACACAATTCCATTCACGATTTATACAATTTCTTTTGTTATTACGATAAAATTATATATATATATATGTATGTATACGAATTTTTCATTTACAAAGTTTTTCTATCTCGACATCATTATATGTAATCGAATTACTCATCCATTATTTAGAATGCCAAAGCGAATTGAGTACACGTAAAACTTTTAACGGTATTTAGAGCGCAGAACCTTCGCATGACGTGTATTACATAAACGTAAAACATCTCCGATTGAATTAATTAAAAATTTCTCCCCCCCCCCTTCTTTCCCCGTGGGACATATACGCGCACGAAGATATAAAATACAATAGAATTCATTATTATGCATAAATATACAACACGTAACGAAACTATTTCTTTCAATAGGAATAAATTAACAAAGTATTTAAAAAAATGTCACTACACAAATAATACTATACGATCCTTGCACTTATCGAATATCCGATGCCTGACTGTCATTTAAACTGCGAATTTTCGAACGATTTGAACGGAGATAGCGCGAGCAATTACGTATTCTTCCTCTTTCCCTCTCGTTCTTCAATTTTTTTAAAATAACGCATGACGAGAAATTGGCAAATCAATATCGCATAAAACTTGGAATCTTCATTGTAGCCGTAATCCTACAAGTATAATCTAATCGATTTTTCTATGCCGCAAATTATTACACGTTCATGTCATATTTACAATGAGCATGAATATACACGATTAAAAGTGAGATCATCGCGCACTCAATCTCTCCTGTACAATTCGAAAATACTTGCGCTTTCATCATACATTCTTATATTATATGCTTAATATATATATTAACAGAACATTATAAAAAGGCTTTTATATCGGAGTCGCGGGACGTATTCTCATCATCTCTTTTCAAACGAGGAAAAAAAAAAAACGAAAAGAAAAAGGGGAAAGATATCGCGCAATGGCTGCTACAGAGATACACGGTGTAAACTTTTGTTTCGTCTCCTTTTGAATAAAATTACGTAATACTTGTCGCTGTGTTTAGTTAATTACCGGACGAATTTGTCTCAATGATCTTTGTTAAAAAAGAAAAAAAAAAATCTTATCTCTCATCTCGCGCCATTACATTATATACTTTCGATCCTGCCGTATAACAGCGCTAATCTCTAGACATCGTAAGTTTTTCTTTTTTTTTTTTTCTCATCGCTAAAATTATTTTCTCCTTTCTTACGTATCCGTGACAATTTGTAACGTAACGTATCATACTCCAATTTCACACATCGATCCACTGTATCCATGACACACACTCATTCACACGACACATTCGTAAAATTATATATTGAGCAGTAAAAAATGTATCGATGTGAATGGAGAGAAATTTGTAAAGACGACTTTTTTTACAAGATGAGTAAACCGAGGGTGCATGGTAGACAAGAGAATTTCGTTTATCTCATAATTGGCAACAATTATACGTAACATCCTTCTCGAACATATAGTATGTTATATGAATGCAAATCACATTGTCTCCAGCAATGTGAACGTAGGCAAATCGTAAAGAAGCGTTCTCAACACAAGAATTTATTTACAAAAGAAAATAACGTATATACTCGACGACTGTGGAATCTAGTCTAATATTCTCCTAGCGCCGTTTGTGTTGACGAGTATATAAAATAAAAAAAAAGGAGCAGATATAAAAATTATATTATCCCATGATATGTATCATTAACTAGTCGAAACAATCAACAAATAAAAATTGATTGTGTAAATCCGATATGAATATAAATAAGTTTAAAATGATATCAAATGATAGATTGTTAATAAAAAAGACGGTAATACACGATATAAAAAAGAGATCTTAAATATAATTACAAAATTCGCAAATATACCGGGCCACGCTTCTTCTGTGTGATTTACCGAAAGATTAATTATTGCCATCCCAAGCTCCCTTCTTGGTGTGTTAATATTACTATCATCTCGCTTCTTTTATATCCTATATCACAGTACGAAGAAATGCTACATGTTTCCTAATTATTAGCACGTGTCATTCGATATAAACGTCGCTTACATCTCGATTACAGCAATCACATATCTACTCGATGTATGTTTTCATACATTTTGAAAATAATTCGTGCTATAATCGCTCTCATATCTCTATCGGTTTGCATATACATCTAATCTATACACAGATCTGTTGTAAATTTCGAATATAAATAAAATATGGTACCTACCATCCATGGAAACAGAGTGTATAGGTAATTTAACTCATTTTAGGTGGCGACTCACTAAAGTCTTTTAAAGTCTGTAGTTTCTGGTTGTCTTCATAAATAAATCTCAAACACAATTTGGTTTTGATCCTGAGCTTGTCACTTCTATCTTTCGTTCTCGAAATGTATTTTCTGCCTAAGGCTCGATCGGTTGATTGAACTGGGCCGCCAGACGTCTCTTGCCTTTAACTAGCGAGATAATAAACATAATTTTCTGATATTTCTAAGTGAATGAAACGTACGATAATACAGCGAGATTATTTCACGAAATAATAATTATTAGATTTTTTTCTTAATAATATAATTCTTAATATATACTCACAGAGTTTACTAGAAGTGCTATGGCTGTCGCTGTTTTCATCATCATCGATAACATTATCCTCGCTTTCGGAACTTGCTAGATTTAGATGCATTCTCGTATTGCTGGCGGTCTTCTTCTGATTATCGGTCAGTATCTTTTTCTTAGGTGTTAGTGATAGAGAAGGAAGCGGCAATTCCGATGGATGTGGCGCAACGACGGACTTAGGGTAATAAGGAGAGGTAGGCGGGTACAAGGGATTAGCAGCAGCAGGCAATAGATTTTTAGTTGGCGACAGCAAGTTTGACGTACCGTCGCCGGACAAGATCTGATTCCAACTTGGTAAGGTCAATGGAGGAACCTGAAATATTCAATAACTGATTGACAAACTGTGTAAAAAATATAAATAATTTTCGCATAGAAATATATATATATTTAATAGAAAAATGAAATAATCCATATAGAAGTGATTGACTTATGGTCGAATTTTAGTCGATTCTGGCTTTCATTCATTCGATGTATGTCTTAATTTATAAGAGACTGATTAATTTAAACAAAAGAATATGAGAGACTCAAAGTCCATCTCTGGCTCAAGAATTACAAGAAATTTAAATACATTCCAATAAAAAAAGATACCTGTACATTTGTAGGATGTTCATCTTGTGGATACGCGAATTTCGTCGGGGACATCCATACCGATGACTTCCAGTGTTCTTCCTTATCCTGAAAGAAAGCAATGATAATAATAAATAGTTCTAATGAACGTACGATAATACAGCGTATCAAGATAATTACTAATGTATTAATAAATATTACCTCCGGCGGAGAGTCGGGTTTGGGTGGTGGCGGAGGGAAATTACGCATTATCGGCGTACGTATCAGGCTGTTCAAGAAGGTTTCACTGCCGCTTTCCGGAACCGGCCAGTTAACCGATCGTTCCTCTGAATTCGACAGATTTTTCCAGTGCTTGTCACGAACCTCCAGCCATAAACCTTTATCGTTCTTTATTTTCCAAGAATTGATGTTCGTTAATTGATCGATCCATTTTTCATGATCGTCCATTATGCCCAGAGTGTTGGAGGCATTCACGCGGCATGAAGAATCGCTCTCGAATGAATCATTACTGGAATCCGTATCGTGATAAGATGACATCGGCTTGTACACTGGTAGCAAAAGTATACCAGCGGACGCTTAAAAAAAAAAAGATCAAATTAGACAGCGACAAGCGCACAAAAGAAAAAAATCATATTCTGATTATTTGCTTACCAGACAACTTTTTGTTCAAATAGATAATCGCTTCCTTCTTCCGTGTTTCTTTTATCGTTACGGTGCAAGGCAATGCTTGTAAAAGTGCAGTTATTGTTGGAAAACCATATTGTGCAGGTTTACAAGATGTGCCTATAATATTCGAGTATGACACATCAAACTGCGATAAGTTTAATGTACCACCACAATTGATCATAACGCGATAAAGATTACAAGCGAAGCGATGCAACGGCGTCAGCTCGATGAATTGTTCGCCATTTATCACTGTGAACTGCAAGATAGATTCTTAAAATATAATACACATATATTCTTAATATAGTATTTAAGATTTTTTTAATATAATTTTCACTAGCTAGTTTTAGGATTTCTTATATTAAATGTATACATACTCGAACAACATTTGCCAGATCTTTTTTAAACTCGTCTACATTGTATGGCTTCATGTAGTACTGGGAGTATTGTTGTACAAATTCTCTAAGAGGCATTTTTTGTTGAGGTTGATCCATTAACACACGCCGGCATTGGAGGGTCGTTTGTTGTAAATGCGATTTGTCTATTGTGATGATAGCAGGTCCTGTAGCCAAGTCTATGATCTAGCACAGAAGAAAGACCAAATAATATCGTCAATCGAAATGATGACAATTTCAATTGAATTAAGATCGACTGTACGACGCTGTGTTACCTGTATGGTATCTCCAAGCTTTCGCATGAGCTGCAACATTGAACTGCAACCGAATAACTCGGGACGTAGCGCATAGCCGAATTGATGTAAAAATGTTTGCCCGATATTTGAAATACTGAGGCCGCTCCTAGCGCGCATCACCAATTTCGATATTTGTTCAGAGAGAACCTTAAGGCCCTCTTTTTCGGTTAAAGATATTTGTCTCTCGCCTCCGTTCACTTCCTCGATTTTGACTACGTCCGGGATCGCCTCGAACAATTCGATCAACTTAGTGAATCCGTAATCCGATACGCGGCATTGATGACCGAAGTGATGATGATAGGAAGGTACAAACTTATTGAACAGCATCCTGCATTGTGGCGCGTGTTGCAATAACTCGATTACCTATTAAATCACAAGAACATATTGTGATTGCGCTTAAGTAATTTCTCTTATCCTAGCAATTACATACTTCTTTAGCGAACAGTTTCGTTCGTTCGATTTCCTCGGCGGTCTGTTCGCGCTTGGGGATGGCTATCATCTTGTCACCGCCCTCCATAGGAGTTACAACAACCGTGTTTTCGGACACTTCACCAAGAATATCTTCGATATCGCATACACCGTAATCTACGATGTCCCACGGTTTTGCTGTAAAAAATATTTTACGTGCTCAAGTTATCAAATTTTTTATTAGGGACGTGAAGAAAGAGATATTACGAAATTATTTGTACCTATCACTCGAGTATAAACACTTGGAAATTCCGAAAGCGCCACTTGTTTGCTCGCTTTTGACTTCAATACTCGCAATAGATCCGAGGTAAATCTGCGCACTTGAGCGCGATGCGATAGCGTGACCACGCGCTTGTTGCCTTCTCCCATTACCTGAAAGGATATGTGACGACTCGCAGATCATTTCGAGTGAACACCAATTCGCGAGATGTACTTAATTTACATACTTGGACAGTGTGCGTAAGTGCCTCCAACAGATCTATTAGCTTAGTGAAACCGTAATCGGCGACTCTGCACTGTCGTCCGAAGTGATGATGATACGCCGGTATGAAGCGATTAAAGGATAATTGGCAGTGTGGCGCGGTTTTCAGAAGATCGACTAATTCGCGGCTAAAAAGAGCTAGTTGATTTGCGAGCGGTGGACTCACGCATTTATTTTCTGAAAAGAACAATTCTTATAATAATTCTTAATAATAAATTTTAATTAAAGCACGCGTTAATGAATTCTTACAGGATTATAAAATAATTACCATCGTAATTAATTTCATGATCCTTTTTTCCTATCCACACGATGAACTTCACACTGCCGATATCTTGTCTCAATTCGACGCATGATAAGCAAGACACTAAATGCTCCAAAGGTACACCATTCTCTACGATTTCTAACTGTTCTTTGAATTCAGCCTCATAACAATTTGGTAGGCTAAAATTATTTAACAAATTGTTTACACCACATCTTTAATAAATATCCAAAGTCTCTTGCATTATATACAGTATATAATATAAATAATAAAAGAATGCACCTTGGCAAAGGTAGAATGCCATTGTGCGACATTAATAATTGTTGCATGCGAGATTCAAGAAGTTTTATGGAGATCTTTACGTTAGGTAAGGACGCCATTTCTTGTTCCGCCCAGCCTTTGTCTGACAATGGTTTCGAAGTATGCATTATGCAATATGGCAATTTAACTTGTCCATCCTGCAAGCATTCAATATCCATTGTATTTAACAAAATATATGCTTTTCTATCACAAAAGAGAATAGTATATTATTTCAGAATAATATACTACGCTTCACAGTATGATCAAGGCTTCTCGACAGTAAGGAAAACATATAATATATTTCTACCATCACCGGAAAAGCTCAGACTCGGCTTCTATTCATCATTTTGCGAATGCTATAAATAATGCTCTATACTACGAAATATAATATCGCGCACCTGTATCGTATTACTAAAGCACGGCGACGGCGTGTTTCTATGATCCGGATTGAGTGAGACCATTCTGCCGCTTGGATCTTCGGTGATTATGCATACATCTCTCATCTTGTAGAGTTCGGACACGCTTATAGAGATCATAAATCGGCTCTCGTACATCTCGCGGAATTTGAACAACGGCAATTTGTGTCCCGGGACTTCTTGTAGGAGCATTACAATTTGCGCTCGGATAAGTTGCGGATTTGGTCCACCAATATGAGCATAAGATATCAAAATGCGCTTGTAGCCTATCTTACGACGGTGTAACTGCGAGATTGCGTATTGTGCGTCCGATAACGAAGGTACTTTGACACTGGCGGCGAAATTACCGTCCGATTGCATAAATATAGAAATAT